AAGAAGAAGAAGAAGAAGAAGAAGAAGAAGAAGAAGAAGAAGAAGAAGAAGTCGTCGTCTCACTCTTTGCTCCCAGCCCCTGCCTTGGTAGGAGGCTGGGCCCCCGACCTGGACAGACCAACCCTGTGTCCCCCAGCCCAGACACGGGCAGCAGGGGTCAACTAACTGAGGATGGGGCCTTCTCACGCCTGGGGCTGCCCAGTCGCTTGGCCAGATGCTAATGGCCTGGCCCGGGGAAGAGAGGGAGGGATGTGACTAGGATGGAATCTGGCTCCCACGCGGACAGAGCCGAGGGCTTGAAAGACCTAGAGACAGTGGCTGGGACACCACAGAGAAACGCACCGAGCAGAAGGTGCCAGCCCGGCCTGCAGGCCGCAGAGCCAGCCAGCGCTCAAGGTGCAGCTTTGGAGGGACTGAGACAGCAGTCCCAATCCCAGAGCAGCTGACAGAAAATAAAGACAGCCCTGTCATCCCCTCCAGGCCCAGGGATAGCCCCCAGCATGGTGGCCGTAATCCGAGGGTCACCTCAGCCTCCTGGAAGGCTGCCCCTACAACACACACTGCTCTTGGCCTCCGGAGCCAGCCCTGATGGGAGGAGCCGTGACAGGGGCGGCTGGAGGGGACGAATGTCAGCCAGTTCTCGGGGCAGGGCGGGGCGAGAGGGCAGCCTCATCCCTGGTGGTGGTGAGGGGAGGCAGAGGGGCTGCTGCTGCCACCAGCCTCAGAGTCTGGGCCTAGTCCTTCCTGAGGAGCAGCAGGCACCTTGAGGACGACCAGGCAGGGGTGGGCCTTCGAGGGACCCTTAATAAAAGCCGTGGCTCCTTCCTGGAAGTCTGCCACGTGGCTGGAGGGGAGGTACCCCTCGGCCACCTGGAGCTTCTGCCAGGGACCCCAGCAGGCCCCAGCTGCCCTCACTCAGCCTTAGCTAAAGAGGCCAGAGACTCAGCTCAGGCCTGGCAGGCTGCAGGCCGCGTCCAGTTAGCTTAAAAAATATGTAACATGGAATTTCCGGAATAAAAACATGCTTCAGGAAAGTACTGGATTGAAGGAGTCAGCTACTCGTCTACAACCAAAGTGTAAATACAAACCGAAAGAAACAAACAAAAACACAACAAAACCCGCCCTGGCAGTCCCCACCCCACCCCGCTCTTTAAACAACAGTAACAGTGACCACGGTACAGAGAAGAAAAGATGAGAACGAGTTGAGAGATGAAAACAACCCCAGAAACACGCGCGGTCTCCACATGCACCCCCCAGCTGGCCCCTCCATCCCGGCCAGGGGCTTCATTTTGGGGGCAAAGGCGGCCGCAGAGGGACCTGGCTGGGGGAGGGCAAAGCGGGAGCGCGGGTCCCAGGAAGATTTAGCTGCTTGCCATGCTCTGTTCACACCTTTGATATTCTACCTCCGTGGGACGGAGCGTAGCATTCTCTGAATGTGCTCAGAAATATAAAAGACAGCAGTCAAAATAGTGTTTATTTCACTTTGTGTCTGCCCCTCTCTCTGGCACCTTCTCCCTTTGGCAGGGTGGGGCTGGCTCGCTACCTAACCTCGGGCTGGGGGTGGCGGGCGGGTTGGGATGGGGGAACCAGGAACGAAGGAAGGCAGTGAGAGCTGGACAAACAGTCGGAAAATGCACCTCAGCCCACCGCCGCCGTGGACCACAGCGCCCCCTCCAGGCCGGCGGCCCTGCCCAACACGTTTTCCGCATCTTACAGGGGGACCGCTCATGGCCCAGGGTGGGGGGGCGAGAGAGCACGCGCAGGGAAGACCCGCGGGGGTGACACGCGGCCTCCCAAGGGAGGTGGACAGCTGGGGGGGACGGGCGGGTGGGCAGGGGGCGCTTGGCGGCATTGCAAGCTCAGAATCACAAGCTCGGCCGTTTGCGAAGGACGGAGCGCGGCCGTCCCTGGGCTCAGGGAGACGCCGTCGGGACCACTGACCGGCGGGGTGATGGAGCCGGGGGCTGGGCGGCGACGTGCCGGGTGTGCAGCTCACAGACGGTCCATCCGGAAGGTGTCCTCGGTGGCCGGGTCGGCCAGGACCATGTCGGGGTCGTTGAGCATGTGCAGTCCGTCCAGGGTCAGGGGGTCAATCTTGAGTTCGTCCAGGGGGAATTGGTTGTCGGAGTCGAAGCTGACGTCACCGACCCCAGCCAGTGTGCTGGTCAGTTCTTTAGACAGGCTGGGAGGGGACTCTCCCGTCACTGGGGGTGGGGGGGGACACAGGACAAAAGTCTCAGCACATCCCTCTCTGTTCCCACACCCTGTGCCTCCATGGCCCCCTGTCAATGTTCAGGGAAGAGGGGTTTGGGCCACCCCAGGGTACTTACATGGGGGTTGGCCCTCTGGGGGTTTATACTGGTGACAACTAGGGGCATTTTGTGTTGTCATGAGTGGGGAGCAGGGATGCCGCTCAGCACCTCGGAATGCACGGTGAGCCCCACCACCCCCAGAGAAAGATCCAGCCCTACATATTGGCAGTGCCAAGGCTGCGAAGCCCTGGGCTGGGACCTCTCCCGCTCTGCCAGGCTCTGCCAGGACGTCGCCTTCGCGTGCATCCCTGACAAGCAGGCTGGGGTGTGTGTGAATTCCCACCCACTCCCCAAAGAGCCAGTCAACCCTGGGCTCTCTCCTTTACTTGCAGTGCCACCTTAGGCCTTAGTTTCCCAATCTGAGACATGGGTATGAAAATCCTAGTCTTTCTGGGCCACTGGGGCAATCACAGGGGCCTATGCCTTCTCACGCATCGGAAGCTACTGTTCCCAGAGCACCTGCTGCGGACTGCTGCCCGCACCCCCGAGGTAGGCAGGAAGCACCATGGCGTGGGGTGGGGTGGGGGGTGGCTCTGGCATGGACTCCTCCATCTTGGAGATGTTGGTGGGACCACCAGGGGGTGACACTCTCAATCCTCAGACAGTGCTGGCTTGTAAGAAAATGCTTCTTTTGGTAAAACCCAGAACCCAGAGGGTGGGGCGGGGGCAGCAAAGGGTCTGGGTTCTCTGCTGCATGGAGCAGGGACCTGCTTACACATACTGCGCTCGGGCTGCTCGGGGATGCTCATCACAGTGTCGGGGCGGTTGCATGTACGTTGGCTGCATGGCAAGACCCCTGTCAGGCAGGGCCCACCCCCGTTACCTGTGACCCCAGTATACTCAGCTAATGGGGCGGAGGGACCCGGGCAGAGGACACAGGGCTGGGTGAGTGATCGGCTCTGTCCTATTCTTGCTCTGAGCACGGGACACAGGAAGCCTGGTCCAGGGTGCAGTGTGTCCCCCAGGGCCCATTCCACACAGCCCAGCAACAGGCCAAGGTCAGTGAGGTCTGACCTCCTTTGGCCTGGTCTTGGCATGGCTCATCCTGCAGGGCAGGGCAGGGACATCTTTTCTGGGGATGAGGCCCTTTGCAGCTGCCAGGCCCAATTGAGGCACTGTGCCCAAGAGTAGCCCTCCCCAGCCCCAGGATGCCACGGCCAGGGGTGCCTCACCTGTGAGGATGATGTTGGGGATGCTGCTGTGGCTGGGGTAGCCAAGCTGCTGCGTGTCCGGCAGGCTCCCATGGCTGCCCGTGAGGCCCATCATGGCAGCCTGCGAGTAGTTGAGCGTCGAGCCCGGGCTGTACAGGCTGCTGGAGCTGATGGCATTCTCCATCATGTTGAACTGCTCCAGCTGGGGGGTGGAAGCACACAGGCATGAGGCCGGCCCTGCTGAGCCCCTGTCTGCTGCTGGCTGACCCGTCCTGCAGCCGCCGGGACCAGCTCCTCAGGGGGATGCCCAGTGCCTGTGCCCAGAGGGCTTGTTGACTAGGAGACCATATGGCCTAGGGTCTCCCCCTCCTCCATCTCTGACCCTGCCCGGGTCTGTCCACACACTGCCCCTTCAGGGCTTGCTGGATGGATGGATTGATGGAAGGATGGATGGCTGAGTGACCTGCTCCAAAAGCGGCCAACCCTTCTCATGCCCACATGCCCTTGACCCTGACCTCCACGCAAAGCCAGCTCCGCCTCCCCAGCAAACCCACATGCACGGCCCACGCTGAGGCGCCGATGCTACAGCCGCTGCCTGTCCCTGTGTTTGCTGCCCACCCTCCACCCCCCTGCTGTTGGCCTCATCCTGTGGGCGCGGCACAAGCGCCCGGGGAGGCGAAGCCAAGCCACCCCCTCCAAGGCCTGGAGACAGGAGGGAGCCTTAGGAGCGAAGCTCACGCCCGAGGGGCGGGCGGGGTCCGGGTGAGCGTCTGCTGTGGGCGCTGTGACCCGGGCACCCGCTCACCTGGTGGGACAGAGCATTGGCCTGCCTGGCCGCCATCTGCTGCTCATAGTACGAGTCCCCAAACACGCCGCCCAAGGTGGAGGAGTGCTGCAGACAGAAGAAAGGCCTGCTGTCATCATGGTCCCCAAGACCAGGTCGTGGGCTGCCGGGGCGGGGGACCTCCCACAGGCTGCTTGTGCCCATAGGGAAGCCCCTGGAACCTCCTGGAGGGTGCTCAGGAAAAAGGAGGCTGAGCACCTTTCACAGGCCTCCTGGGAGAGAGCCCACACCTTCCAGGATGGAGAGGTGCCCCCCCATCTCAGGATGCCTCTTTCCACCGCCTGCTCCTGGAGGGCCTCTCTACCCCAAGAGCCAAGGCACCATCCCCCTCTCCTCTGCTTGAGCCCAAGTACGGGTGACCCTGTTTCCATCGGATAGAAGACAGGGGGCCCATAGGGATCAGGAACCCCCCCCCCAACAAGTTCCAGAGGAAAACACGTGGGGGGCCAAGGAGGGAGGTGTTCTGAATTTCAGGATGGGCAGTGCACTTGGTGACCCCTGTCAGGCCCCCAGGGAGACATGGGACATGGGGGCAGGCCATATACACGTGGACAGGACGGGTGCACAGAGCCAGATGCCAGCTGAGCAAGCACAGGACGGTCACACGGAAAGCCCCCTGCCCGGCTATCTCCCCCTGACTGCCTGCCTGGGGGACCCCAGGGCCCACAGGTGGGCAGGGAGCCCACCTCCTGCTCTTCCAAGGCCAGCCGGGGGCCAGGTCTGCTGCTGAGAGAAGAGCGGGGGACTGGGGACCCTCAGAGGCAGTAGAGACAACAGGACAGGAGCTTGGAGCCCCTGCCTACTCCCATGATGCCAGACAGAGATGGCAGGATAGAGCCTGGTGGAATGTGCAAGGGAGGAGGGACAGTGCGGCCAGACCTCACCCGCGGCACCAGGCCTCAGGAAACACATCCGCAGCCCAGACCCAACTCTGCTTCCTCCTTGGTGAGTGAGCTGAGAGCAGAAAGAAAAACAGCCCATGTGGCAAAAAAGCCCCCCTTTGCCCTAAATACAGCCAGCGTCAGGTCTGGAAAAGGGAGCTGCAAGGTTGTGGCTGGGTTTCCCCGTAAAGGAGGGCTGCTTCCTGTCCTGGCTTATCTGGGTCTATGGGTTATCTCTGTGTATCTCCATGGCCTTGGCCTCAAAGGGGCCGGTCACAAGCAGGGCACCCAGGCTAAGGTTTCTTTTGTGAGGTTGCCATTAGACTTTGCCAGAAAGGTCCACTCAGAGTGGAAGGGAGGAACACAGTACCGAAGGCCAGCTGCCTAAGGGCCAGGGTACGGTCAGACAGATACAACGTGTACCCGAGAGGCTGGGGAGGTTGGGGATGGGAGGTCCTGGCCCATAGGGCCACCGAAGGCAACCTAGAGCCCCAGCTGCAGTGTGAAGCCAGGCCTGGCCTTCACCCAGCACAGTCTGCCCCCAAGCGAGCCTCTGGGCCATCTTAAGCCCAGGTCTGGTTGAGTCCGGACAACCTGAAAGCCCTCACAGCCTCTTAAGCGGCCCACCTCCCTCGCCAGCACCCAGTAAATGGATGGACAGACTGACGGACACACAGATGTGGGCTTGACGAGATGACAACACACTTCCTGCCTAGGATAGACGAACCCACTTTGGTCTATGCAAACCTCTCCCGAGAGATCGGCTCCACCCTTGAATTCCTGTCCTGCTTCCTATGTAAAAAGGGACATGAGTCAAGGTCCAGCCCCAGGAACAGGCGGCACCTGCCCCTTCCCCTGCCTGGACTTGCTTCTCCCTTCCCTCAGCATCCTGTGACACCACGTGGCCCGACTGGACACTTTTCAGGAGCCACAGAGCTGGGAGCCCACATGGATGGATCTAGAGCTGGCAGACACCAGGCTGACCTCCGGCTTCTCTGAGCTCACTAATACCCTGCCCACCTGCCTGTGGAGCAAGAAGCCGCACACGGATGCCCCAGCAGGACCCCTCCTACGGCAGATGGGACTAGGAGGGCAGCCTTCCTGAACAGGACACCCACAATCTCAACACAGGGCCCAATTTGAGTGTACTTCTGGGAACTGGGGAGATGGGGACAGAAGGGCACGTGCCCTGGGACACGGGAGCCCGACATTGTTCTTGCATGGTCCTGCCTGGTAGGACAGCTCCTCTCCCTTCTTTAGCAGGGAAGGAAAGTCCTATCGCCCTCTGGGCCAAGAATGAGGCTTCAGAGCCTGGGGCACTGCCCTATGGCAGCGGCTCTTGGGAGTCTCTCAGCTTGGTGACATTTTGCAGATGGAGTGGCGGGGTCCTGAGGAGGCTCTGCAGCATGGAAATTTCGAGCCCAGATGTAGTTCTGTGGGCACCTCTTCTCCTCTGGTGGAATGTTCCAGATGGAATTCGGCCATGGGTTGAGAGCGGCACCAAGGCAAACTCTGAGGAATCCGGAGGGGGGTATGTGTGCATGTACATGCATCAGAAACTGGGGTCCAATGGTGTTGGGGGGAAAGCCAAGTCTGATGGATGTGGTAAAGCCCTTCTGCTGCCTGAGAAAGCCTCAGTCTCCTCATCTGTTGAGACAGGGACAGAGGACCCTGAGAGGCTGCACTACCACTCAGAGAAGCTTCCTGTGAGGACCTGCCTTCCAGCAAGGCAGACGGGAGAAGAACCTGAGGAGTCGGGGCCCCAACCACAGGCCAGCTGTCACCTCAGCTACGCCCCCAAAGTGGGAGGAGAACATCCCCCCGCACCCCGCTGAGAGCCTCGTGCGGGCAGGTGCAGGGGGCGAGGACACAGGTGCATGGGCTGTGGGACACATGCTCTGAGCCACACGTGGAGGTGTCCCTGCCTGCCAGGCAAGGGACCGGGGTGGGGCCAATACTAATATCACTAATGTGAGTGAGGAGCCTGCCACCTCCAGGCAGGGGGCTCCGCAGAGGCCACAGAGACACAGCGGGAACGTGGCAGCTTCTGGGCTGGGCCAGGGAGGTGGACAGGGCCTTCTGCTCGCCGCTGCGCCGGAGTGGACGAGATGGGATGGAATGAGGCGCGCGCAGCACAGACGGCAGGGGGATCGGTGCCGGGGCTGGAGTGCAGGCTGCTGGGAGAGGGGAGGCGGCGTCCCTTACTTGCGGGGAGCTCCCCGGGGAGAAGCCTTGATTGGAGACAGGCGAGGTGGGAGACTGGTTGGCCGGGGAGCCGGCGCCAGCGCGGTACTGCTGCAGGGCCGGCGCCTGTGATGACAGACAGGTCAGGACGCGCGACGGGTCCCAGGCCTGGCGTCCTAGGACTGGCCGCTCCCCACTGTCCACCCCCCCAAAGACGCCCCTCTCCACCTGGCAGGGGAGCACCTGCCAGAAGTGTGGGTCCCTGAACCCTGAGCCTGGCACCTTTTGGGGCCCCAGGGGTGTGGTGTCAAGAGAATCCAGCTTCCTGGAATCACACCGGAGGGCTGTGGGAAGGGCACGGCGGGCTCCAGAGCACCCACATGAATGCAACCCACACCCACATACTTGTGCACACTGCCACACGTGTGTACAAACACACCCACACACAGCAGGGCACAGGAGGCCCAGGGCGGGGCAGGGAGGTGCTGCCTTCCCTGATGACTCCGGGCAGCACCCTCGGCTCTCTGAGCTCCAGCCCTGGGCGCGGGCACGTCCTGCCCACCTTGAGGGCTGGTGGAACCGACAGCAAAGCCCATCCGGGGCACGCTGCAGGACAGCCAGCACTGGGCAGTCTCGATCAGCAGCGTCACTGGAGACAAGCCTGATGGGTATGCTGTCCTGAGACCTCCATGGGGTAGCAACCTCCTCACCTGAAGGAGTGGGGGCGGTGGGGGGGGGGGCGGCTTGGCTTCTCCCCAGGGACAGGAGGGGCTGCATCGGGAACCTGGATTTAGACCCTGCTCTGTTCCCAGTCCAGCCAGGACCTGCTGTGTGCCTTTGGGACAGGCTGCCTGACTGCTCTGGGCCTGTTGTTCACTGAGGCCCAGAGGACCAGCCCAGGGCCCCATAAGCGCTCGGTCTCCCCCATTTCCTCAGTGGCCCATTCCAAGTAGTCTGGGACAGGGGTGGAGCCTGGGGGGGTGCACGGGGGCTCAGTTAACAGGGCATCAGTGCTGGAAGCACTAGCATGGTCACTTGGCAATGACTGGCCCGGGCCGTCTCAGGGTTGAAAAGAGGAAAATGTCCAGAGGGACATTTTCCTTATTTGGCTGAGTCAGCACAAACCCAAGGAAGTGGCCACCAGAGCCCCTGCTCCAAGGAAGTCAGGAAGTCCCTGGTGAAGGTGCCTGGATGCACACGCGCCGGCCTGGAAGCCTGGGGTGGTGATGTCTGTGCCCCTGGCCCGGACACCCATGCCTCCCTTGTCTGCCCAGCTCAGAAGTGAGGTACCACTCAGGGAATGAGGTGCCCCAGGCAGGCTCCACCATCAGGACTGCTCCCACACCAGCTGTGCGTCTGACAAAGACAAGGCTTGCACACTTTCCTGGCCGGGGACCCCTGGGGTCTGCCCTATGAAGGGTCAGAGCAGCTTGGAAACAGGTCTCCATTCAACCAGGCTGCCCAGCCTAGGGGGGGGTCTAGTCTTTGCAGAGCACAGGATATTCTGAAGACATTTATCTTGGGGTTGACAGCCAAGGGCCTGAGTGGAGAGGGCTTGCTGTACCCCAAACGTGGTCCCTGTTCCTTGGATATGGCCAAAGGTAGCTATGATCAGCCCCTTGCCACCAGGGCAAAAGCCAGAACAAGAAGCTTTGGGGGTGCAGAGGTCAAAACCTAGCACCCATTTCCCTGAGCCCAGACCCAGGCCCAGGCCCGTGGGCTACCTTGCACCTCTGGGCCCCTGCACCATGCTGCCTGAACCACAGGGGAGCTTTATCCCTTCTCCTCCAAGTTCCCCCTGTGCCTCCGGCTCCCAGAATCTATCCCCAGGTCCCAAGAGCTCTGCGTCCTCCCCGCCTCCAAGGAACCATTTCAGGTGGGAAAGGTTGAAGCACTGGGCGTCAAGGACCATGGGGGAGCCTTGGCAGCCAGACACAGATGGCCCATCTCAAGTGAAGTTTGGGTCAAATGATCCCTGCTCGTATCTCAGCCTCCCCATCTATACACATGAGATGACAACCTCAGCCCAGCAGTATTTGCTTCAGCCCTGACCTCTGGCCAAGCTGGCCTTGAAGTGGAACCTCGAGGAAGCTTCAGCCAGATGCCTGAGTGTCTCTGGGTCTTGGGAGCCCAGTGGGGGCCTCCCACAGCCTCTGGGATACTCCTGCATGAGCCCCCCCACCGCCCCAGCCAGGCCCCTCAAAACCCCATCCTGGGCTTACCGAGGTAATGTCGATCCCCATTGGCGGCTGGCCTGGGTTCTCTGCGGGGGACTGGGGGAGAGAGGACGGTACCGTGACCGCGAGCGGGGGCAGCTGGGGCCCCCGCGTCAAGCTGGCACTTGGCATCAGGGGGCCACCTGGGGGGAGGCCAACGGGCACCTGCGGGGGTGGCGGGGGCGGCTGCTGCTGGGACGCGGGTGGCGGCGGTGGAGGGGGCTGGGGCTGCGGCGGCGGCGGCTGCTGGGAGCCTGCTTGGGTGAAGAAGGCGTAGGGCAGCTGCTGCTCCAGAGACAGGGCATCCATGGCCACAGCCTGGGGGAAGAGGAGGGCGTCAGGGGGGGAGGCCACGAGACAGGAGGGGCCAGGCTGGGAGTACCTGGTCCCTGGGAACACCCCATGCTTGACATGCTCACCAAAGATGTCACAGGTAAACAAAGGGACATCCAGAGCCTGGACTGGGAAAGCACAGGCCGAGAAAGGGCAGGCCTTGCCCAGGGCCACAGAGGGTTAGACTGCAGCTGGATGAGGCCTGGACTTCTAATCCAGCTGGAAGTGCTCTGCTCCCAACGAGCCTTTCCTCCTGCTGTGCCCCACACAGAGAGGTGGGCACCCCCTTCTGTACCTACTCAGGCTCAGAAGGTCCCTGGTGGGTGACCCTGTTGGGACCCCTCTCACTCTGGAGAGCTTTTTCTGTATCTTTACTTAACAAACTTCTATCGCTTTACTCAATCAAAAAACAAAACAAAACAAAAACATCAAAAATATTATCTTTTAGGGATAAAAAAAATGGACAAATTCCTAGAAACACAAACTATCAAACTGAATCAAGAAAGAATGGAAAATCTGAATAGACCTACACCAAGAAAGGAGACTGAATCAGTAATTGAAAACCTCCCAAGGGAAGATATTTGCAAATGACATATCTGCTAAAGGGTTAGTTTCCAAAACACAGGAAGAATTTACAAAACTCAACACCCAAGAAATGAATAATCTCATTAAAAAATGGGCGGAAGACATGAATAGACATTTTTCCAAAAAAGACATAGAGATGACAACAGACACGTTAAAAGACGCTCAACATCATTCACCATCAGGGAAATGCAAATCACGGCTACAGTGAGATATCACCTCACCCCTCACCCCTGTGACAATGGCTAAAGTCAACGACACAAGCAGCAACAGGTGTTGGTGAGGACGTGGAGAGGGGAGCCCTCCTGCACTGTTGGTGGGGATGCAAACTGGGGCAGCCACCATGGAAAACAGTATGGAGGTTTCTCAGGAAGTTCAAAACAGAGCTATCCTACGATCCAGCAACTGCACTACTAGGGAGTTACCCAAAGATACACAACAATACTTATTCAAAGGGATACACATGCACCCCAATGCTTATGGCAGCATTACCTACAAGAGCCGAATTATGGAAGCAGCTCGAGTATCCACTGATTGATAAATGGGTAAAGGAGGTGTGGTATATAAACAATGGAATATTATTCGGCCATTAAAAAAAAGATGAAATCTTGTCATTTGCAACAACATGGGTGGACCTAGAGACTGTAACGCTAAGCGAAATTAGTCAATCAGAGAAAGACAAATACCACAGGATCTCACTCATTTGTGTAATTTAAGAAACACAACAAGCAAGCAAGGGGGAAAAAGAGAGAGGCAGACAGACTAACCAAGAAAACAGACTCCACTACAGACAATGAACTACTGGTTACCAGAGGTGGGGGTAGGTGGGGGGGGATGGGGGAAACAGGTGACGGGGATTAAGGAGGCACGTGTTGTGACGGGCATGGGGTGATGTGTGGAAGTGATGAATCACTATACTGCACACTTGAAACTACTACAACACAGTATGCTACCTAACTGGAATTTAAATGAAAACTTAAAAAAAAACCAAAACCCTCCCCATTAAGATAAGCTCAGACCAGTGGCTTTGCTGGCGAATTCTACCAAATATTTAAAGAGTTTACAACACCAGTGCTTCTCAAACACTTTCCCCCCACCCCAAAAAGAAAACAACAGACAAAGAGGGAACACTTCCTAGCTTGTTTTGTGGCCATAAACTAAGTAAAAAAGAATCAAATTGCTGAAATCAAAAATGAAAGTGGGAATATTACTATAGACTTAAGAAAAATGATTATGAGTGCTATGAACGATTGTATGCCAGCACAACGGATCACCTAGATGAAAGAGACCACTCCTAAACACACATGACCTACCAAAAAAGCAAATGAAACAAAATTATGGTAAACTGAAACAAACAAAAAGCTCTCTAGGGGCGCCTGGGTGGCTCAGTTGGTTAAGCGTCTGCTTTCGGCTAGGGTCGTGATTCTGGAAGTTCTGGGATCAAGTCCTGCATCGAGCTCCTTCCTTGGCAAAGAGCCTGCTTCTCCCTCTGCCTGCCACTCTCCACTGCTTGTGTGTGCTCTCTCTGACAAATACATAAATAAAATCTTAAAAAAAATGTTTAACAAAATAACTCTAAACTTTTATTTCAGAGAATTTGAACTAGATCCTCAAGGGAAAGTAACACAACGAAGAATGCTCAGTCACGAATCCGCCCATGACAGGTATGGGAGATTCCAGGCCAAGAAAACACACACAGAAAACACACAGGCCAGAAAATACTCCATTTCCGTGTGTTTGAAAATTTGACAAACAGCCAAAAGCTTTGGGAACCTTTTTCTTCAGGAGTCTATGACCCCCAGGGAGGAGGGGGAGGTCTCCCAGAGAGGTAGAGCTGGCCACACCTCCCCCACCCCACCAGGCCCTCACACCTGAGTGATGGGTGACAGCTGGGAGAGGGTAGATGACACCTGCTGGGCTTGCTGCCTCCTTGCCTCTGTGCTCAGGGACAACGGGCTGACGCCAGCCGGGCGGTGCTGCGGTGAGGAGCCTGGTGTGCTCATCCCTGAAAGGGAGGACAGGAGAGAAGGGTGGGCGTGACTCTAGCCTCCAGAGGGCCGCTCACACACCACGATCACTGCTGACAACAGCCCAATCAATCAGACAGAATCCATGGTGTCCTGATCACCAAACCCAGGGTGCCCCCTCCAAGGCCCCAGTACTTGTGTGGGCTCTGTTCTTCTTCCTGACCTATCCCCATGTTGGTCGACATTCTCCCACTGAACCTATCATCCCTCTAAGAGGGGTGTGACCCACAGGCCCTGCCAATCAGCACTTCCCTGCCTCTGGACCACCACATGATTGGCTCCCCGATGGACATGTTACCAGACTGGCCCAATGAGAGCCTGCCCTGGGAATTCTGATGAACTCCAAGGAGGGACATCTGGAGTTGTGTAGGAAGGGGCATCTCATGGCTGCAAGTGGAAGAACCAGCTGGAGAATCAGGGGCTGAGGGGTAGAGGAGGCATCTGAGCCCTGCATCTGGCCATACTGGAGCTTCCTGGTTTGGGGAGATAATCAGTGCCCTTTTTTGCCTACACCAGCTTGGGGATGGGTTAGCTTCAAGAAAGCTGCTCCTGGGTGCGCCTGGGTGGCTCAGTCAGTTAAGCGTCTGTCTTTGGCTCAGGTCATGATCCCAGGATCCTAGGATCTGGCCCAAGTCAGGCTCCCTGCTCGGCTGGGAGTCTGCTTCTCCCTCTGCCCCCGCTTCCCTCCCTGGCCAGTGTGTGCGCGCTTACTCTCAAATAAATAAATAAAATAAAATACTTAGAAAGAAAAAGAAAAAAGAAAGCTGGTCCTGTCCAGAGGCTGCAGTTTCTCTAAAGCCTCATGCTCTCCTTATGCTCCTCCCTATAACTGTTCCTTCGGCCCCTCCCCCCACAGCTCTCCACCTCCTGTGCTCTCCATGCTGGACCACCAGTCCTGCTGGAAACTCAATTACGCTCTACCTTCTTACAATACCTATGTTCCTGATTGAGCTCCGTCAGGAAGGCTCCGTGTTGCCCTTTCCCTCACCCTGAGCCCCTCCCCCAGCAATCCTATCCCTGGATGCGTCTGTCATGAGGGAACTGCGTGAGGTCAAGTTCAGTGTGGTAGCAGTTGGGGCCTGCCCCATCCTGGGGCGCTGTGCCAGGGAGGCAACAGGCCTCCCGATGATGCCTAGGAGAGCCCTGGGGGCTTGGCTTGATCTCCCAGACTTGGTGTCCTTATCCTTGAGATGGAGATGATAACAGCCACCCTCAAGAGTTCACTGAGAGGCCCCTGGTGAGGCTGGGAGCAGGCTCAGAAGACAGTCTGGCCTGCAGTTAAGGCCAATGCAGGAGCCTGACTCACCCAGGGGAGCTGGGCCCATCCTGCCAAGGGCATCAGATCAACCTGGTTCCAGCAGGTGAGACGGGGCTCCCAGGTCAGTGGGAGCACACCCAGCACGCACCGAGGGGAGAGGATGGGCAGCCTTCTCTCTACCCCGGGCAGCTGCTCACCGTGTGAGGCAAGCCTGGTCACGCCTGCACTTCCCTTCAGTCGCCCTGGCAGCTCCACTCAGCCGTGCACTGCAGGAGGGCCTGGCACCGCGGAGGGCTCCCAAGGCAGAGACCCAGTTTCCAGGTTATGCACAGACCTTGGGCCCCAGAACCATGCTGCTGCACGCACAGCATGGACAGGAAGCCTGAGCAGGCAGAGTCCAGGAGATGCCTGGTAGGAGGACGCTCAGAGTCAGGCCCACGGGCTGCTCCCTCCCCTTCTCTGAGCATCCACGGCCTCTTATGTCCCCAGGCTGAGAACACACTACACCCAGGGAGCAGTGATGTCAGGACTCAGTAGCAGCAGAGGCAAAGGCCAGGAGAGACAGGGTCAGGGGGGCAATGGGGGCTGGGGGCAAACCAGACCATCTCAAGGCACAGAACCTCAACACACCACTGGTGGGCCTTCCAATTCTTCAAGAGAAGCCAGAAATCCCGAGTCTTAACATGTACTTAGTCCTTTAGATTTTTAAACGTTGATTCAGACATCACGCACGCAACCACAGGCCAGACAAAATACACTGGCAGGCCGCATCTGCGCTTGCGCTGCCAGCCTCTGTCTATCCGGAATACAAGGGGGTTTTTAATCCTCTGCTGGGCTGCAGGGTGAGCTCCTGGTCTCACACTGGGCGGGCCACCACCCCGGGAGAGGCCAGTTGGGCCAGGAGAGTGGACAGACGCCTTGCTGTTGAATTCCTTTTGGCAACCTGGATCACCTTTGGGAAAAGGAGTGAGGCCAGCTGGAAGGGAAGTCTGGGGCAGGCAGGGAGAGCTGCCAGGGGAGGGCAAGCCAGGTGGCAGGGGCCCAGCCTCAGGCACGCAAGCCTTGTGTGCGGGGCCGGCAGGCCTCGGAGCTGTGCCAGGAAGGAGGACCCGGGCCTGCCCTCCTCCGGGTTCTGGCCGAAGACCAGGAAAACGACCTCAGCAAAGATTCAAGAGGACGAGAGGGGCCGCTGTCTCCCTGGCGGCGGACGCCTCCCATTCTTCTTCGAGGGGGCTCACGTTCTGACTGGCGGGTGGGCTGGGGTGGGGGGTGGTGATCTCCACGTGTGCCAGGGGCCGGCGGCTCGGCCTGATTTAAAATGCGCCCAGAAAGCGAAGCCCCTGCCAGGCGAGCTGCTCGAGCGGCAGGTTCGCAAACAACCGAACACATGTCAGACATTACTGGGCTGACGCTCCCAGCCGGGCGGGCCAGGGTCTGGGCCCCACACTTGGAGTCTGCGCTTGTTCCCGCGTCTATGGCTTTCACATGTGTTGTGTTTTCCTGTGCTTGTTTAGACTCGGCGTGGGCCGGAGGTGCACAGCTCCCGGGCGGGTGCTGGGGGGCTGCCAAGGACCCTCTGGAGGAGGGGGTAGTGCTCTGGAGGCCATGGCGAGACGTGAGGAGAAAGACGGGGGGCCAGGAAACAGCAGTATCTGCACAAGGGGCCCCCCACCGGCATCCCCAGAGCCAACCTTCCGATTTCTTGCTTCATGTAGGCCCGTGTGGATGCTGCCTGCCCACCCACCTCTCAGGAGGCCGTCGGTCCCAGGCTCTCCTGAATTTGCTCATTTTGTCTTCTAGGCCCTCCTGGGGCTGGGGGGAGTACAGTGGGGGCTGGCGCCCTGTGCCTGGTGGCTGAGCCTGGGTGGGCACGGGGCCAGGGGTGCACAAGCAGGAACAGAGCCTCAGTGTTAGGCCAGGGTCTTGCTCCCCTCTGTACTGCGCCGGCTTCTATGTCCTTGTCTAGAATCCTAGGAACACCTACATTATTCTCAGCACCCCTGCCCTACCTCTCGCCCTGTCAGCACCAAAGCCAGGAACGGCTCTAGGCTCCTCAAGTCCTCTGCTCCCCACACTGACCCAGCTCTCAAGCCAGCCAACTTCACCTAGAATTCTCTCTAGAGTGTCTGATGGGGCCCTGCCCTGGCACTGCCGCCCCTCGCGATAGCCCGCTCTCCCTGCGGAGCCAGAAGGGCTGCGGCAGATGTGAACTGGAGCACGTGGTTCTCCCTGACGAAACCCCGCATGGTGCTGCCCATCACACCTGGGGCAGAGGTGTGACACGAAGAAGGATGGGATGAGCGCTGGCTCCCGGGCGGGACGGAGGGCACAGCAAGGTTGTGCTCGCGCTGGCCGCCAAGTCCTGATATGTACAGACTCACAGAGGGGTCCCCCCATAGCCCATCCTGCCTGTCCCACCACAAGGCTGTTGGGGCTGCCTTATCTCCTCCCTGGATGCAAACCCACACATCCCACAGTCCACATGGGTGCAGAATGACAGCGAGGACTTGGGGACAGCGGGGTCGTAGTGGGGACACAGGAGAGCTCAGCCTGAACAAAGGAGTGACTCAAGAGCAGCAGGGTGAGTGCCGAAAAGCAGTGCAGAGTGAGACCAGGGATGAGGCTGTGTGGGCAGGGGACCAAGATGGCTCACCGAGAAGAGGAGGTATAAGTGGGGATGGAGTGGGTGAGGGGCCCTGCGGCCACCTGGAGGAAGAGGAGGACTGTGGGAGAGGGGCAGCATGTGCCAAGGCCCTGCGTGGCTGGACAGAAGATGGTGTAGGGAGCAGAGGTAGCGGTGGGGGCGGAGACCAAGTTGGAGGGTGAACTGGACCTCCCAGGCCGCAGGGGTCTCAGGTTTTCATTGGGAGGGAGATGAGGACCCGTGCAAGGTGCTGAGCAGACAAGAGTCACGAGGTGATTCTGGGTGAGAAGAGGCTAGGGGTCGGGTGGAGGGCAGACAGGTGGAGGCCAGGCAAGGTGGAGGGGGTCCAGGTTGGGCTGGGTCCTAATGGTGGGGCTGAGGGGATGCATCCACGGGTCAGGGCAGGCAAGAGAAAAGGGCAAGCAACTGGGAAACAGAGCTGCTCACCCCCAGGGGAATAGGACTGGGGCAGCACCGGAAGGTATGAGGAAGGTGATGGGCCCATGGGATGTCCCCATGGACATGGCCTGGGCTGGAGTGTCCCAAGCAGGGGACACCGTGAGCCACTGGGCATGAGGGAGTGTGGACGGAGCAGATCAGGCCTGGTCCCGTCCCTCCACGAAGAGCTGAGGACAAGGAGAGGCAGGGGAAAAGCCTGGTATACCCCACAAGTGAAACCCTTGGGGGCTCCCCTCCTAGAATGTTCTGGACTCACCCAGTTCCCCCTCAGAACCACTGTCTGATCCCTGAGGACACTGGGAGTTTTCCCAGCTCCAGGCCTTTGCCTAGGCTGTGTGCCCTCCACCTGGGATGCCTTCCCAGGCAGTACTGGGAAATGCCCAGCCCCTGGGAAAGGTTCTGGCTCCCACTTGGTACCCGGCATTCTGGAGGGCACCTTGCCAAATCATCACTCAAAGCCACGTGTCGTCTTCGCTAAATGCTGCGCTCTGCTGGGGAAGGCAGTTCTGCCCCCGCCTGGCCTGGCCTTACCCTGGCTGGCGCCGCCGATGCCCAGATGAGTCAGGTTGGCTGCGAGGTTGCCGGTGCTGCTGGAGCTGCTGAGCGCGGGGAAGGTGGGCTCCTCAGGGTCCAGCGGGGTCGGGAGGGGGGAGGGGAAGTGTATGTTGGTCAGGTCGGGCAGGGAGCCCCCTGTGTTGTGGGTGGCAGGGATCAGGGCTGTAGTGTTTTCCTGGTCAGCGGATGGAAAGATGCTGGGGGGAAGGCCAGACAGAGGGGGGGAGGTGAGCTCTCGCCCCGGCCCATTCTCCCCCAAGAGCTGTGGTGGGGGGTGAGGGGGTGGGGGGAGACTGGCCCAAAAACATCAGGAGGCAGAGAATGGTACCCTGGGATCAGGTGCTGCCATGTTCAGCCTGCACCTCCAGCGGGACCTTGGGAAACAGCCTATTTATGCAGGAGAGGGGGCTGGGGTGAGGGTCCTCCTGGCCCCGGGACAGGCTGGGGCTGACGAGCGCGCCAGCTGGGGCTGAGTGGAGGCGAGAGGGGGCTCAGTCCCTGCATGCAGGGACGGGTAGGAGGGCCCCTTCTTCCCCCACCCGGTGAGGGTTGTTAGACAGCCGCCAGCACGGGGCAGCCCTCTTATCAGGACTTGTAGACTCCTGAGCGGACGGGAAGCCCAGGGGTCATCGGAGCAGCCCCACCAGCCCTGGGCATGCAGGGCGGGCCCTGCTGACACTTACTTGATCCCGGGGACCTCGCAGGACTTGGGCCTGGACCCCGTCTGAAAGAAAAGACAACAGAGGCTGAGCGGGCCCCCTCACGCACCATGGCTCCTTGGGGTGCAGCTGACCATGCCAACAAGAGGGGAAGTTTATCAGGCCCCACGATATCTCACAAACCAGAACCAGGCATCCTCAAAGACCAAGAGGCCTGTCCTGGACGTGTGCAGGGGCAAAAGCAAGAGTCATACGCAGAGGAGTCTCTACTGCTCCCACCACCAGCACCTGCCCTTGGTGGCGACGGGCACATCCTAGCCTAGCTCCGCCTGCCCCTAAGGTGGGCGCAGCAGACAGGGGTGACGAGGTCCCTTGTCAGAACAGACATCTGAGGGAGAATGTGCCTTGTCTACTCTACACCTGAAAACCCCAGGGCCATGCCACAGAGGTCAGACACCGGCTCAGCGATGGCGCCACTGGAAACCCAGGCACCCAAGGCTGGTCCCCCATTCCATTCCTAGATCAGAGCAGTGGAGCTCCTGGGGAAGGAGCTCAGCATGCTTGTACCTCGTGCGGGACAGCACAACGAACACACAGAGGGTGCTGCCCACGCCCCTAATGGACTCACCTACCAGTGGTCCCCCAGTTCTGGCTCTCACAGGGACCCATGGAGCCCATGTCCCCACCACCTGAGGACGAAGGTCAAAGACTCTGGCTGCCCTGTGAGCTGGGGAGGGGTCCCAGGGAAAGCCCGCTGGCAGCAAGGCCCTGGTTTCCTCCCCTCGAGCTGGGGCCACTAGGTCACCTGAGAACTATAGGCTCTAGGCAGAGCCCCTAGACTCTCATTCAAGGACAAAGGAGAGAACTCTTCAGACAGCAGCAGACGTGACTGGACAGAGCCCCGCGTGCTGACGGGAGGGCTCCAGCTGTGTCACACTCCCTAATTCCCCATCCGCCTCACAGGCCCTCAGTCTGATGTGTTCTTTGGGGATTATCAGCTAGAAGAAGGTGGATGCACTGGTGGGGGGCTGGGCTGGCAGCCTCTATGTGCAGGCCCAGCGTGTATGGGGTGGGGGGAGGCCGGGGGAAGGTGGCGGGGGTGTGCCAGCAGTGACTGGGGAACCTGAGGGGTGGTGTGCGACCAGCGGGGTTAAGCCTCTGCAGAGCATGCCAGAGGAACGGGTTTCTACTTGGCCATGGGCTCCTTAATTCTGTGAGTAAACACTCGCTTCATTACCGGATTTTTGCAAAGCATGAAGACAATGACTTTCTAAAGAATCTTTTCAAAAGCATTCCCATGAACATTATGGAGATAACAGCGGATTTCTAAACAGTATTAAAAACTCACCCATCACTGCCTGTCCCCCCAACGCCACCCCACTCCCAATGAATCCAACGGAATTCCTTTGCCGACATCCTTCAGAACGCATCTCGTGCACGCGGCAGTTACAAATGTTGAGGTCTGCTACCCTCTCCTCGCTCCCAGGATGTCAAGTGTGTTTCCACTGACACTCGCCGCTTTCGCTCGAGGGCTCAGTGGCACACTGACCACTCGGAAGGATCCTGATGTCCGTCCTTACCCACCTCTCTGCAACCACAATTCTGTCGGGGTTGGTAGAATTCTTTTTGAGTTATTTTCTTCCCTGAACATGTCAAAAATCACACGTGTTCTCTATCTAAAACTGGAAGATGTAGACAGGGATAAGGGCTGCCAGGGGCGCCCACACCTGCCACTCGAGAGGACACCGCACCCCCCTTCCTCGCGCACATCTCCCCAGGCATCTGTGTGTAGACGGTGTATCTGGGAGATATGCTGGTTCTGTTCCAGACCCACCCCAATAAGATAAGTATCACAGCGAAGTAAGTCAAGTGAATTTTTTGGTTTCCTGGTGCATATAAAAGTTATGTTTACCCTCTCCTGCAGTGGTTAAGTATGCGACAGCACTATGTCCGAAAAAACTTATGAAAAAAAAAAACTTATGTACCTTAATTAAATATGCTGATCATTTATCTGAGCTTTCAGCAAGTTGTAATCATGGATCAAACATCACACAACAAATACAGTAATGAGAACAGGGGTACCCGGGGGGGCTCAGTTGTTTAAAACGCACCTGCCTTCAGCTCAGATCCGGCATCCTGCTCAGCACGGAGTCTGCTTTTCTTTCTCCCTCTCCCTCTGCCCCTCCCCACCACTCATCCCCCCCGCCGCCCAATAGATTAAAAAAAATCTGGGACGCCTGGGTGGCTCAGTCAGCTAAGCCACCGCCTTTGGCTCAGGTCATGATCCCAGGGTCCTAGGATCCAGTCCCGCATCGGGCTCCTTCCTCAGTGGGGAGCCTGCTTCTCTCTCTGCCTCTGCCTGCCACTCTGCCTGCTTGTGTTCTCCCTCTCTTTGACAAATAAATAAATAAAATCTTTTTTTAAAAAATCTTAAAAACAAAATAATGAAAACACATGAACTACCGTGAGAATTACCAGAATGTGACCCAGAAACACAAAGTGAGAAAATTGCTGTTGGAAAAATGGCGCCGATGTTCTTGTTCGACACAGCGTTGCTGCAAACCTTCCACTGGTAAAAAAAACACAGCACAGTAAAGAAAAGTGCAATAAAATGAGGTGTGCCTGTCCATTTCTAAGTGTTGTATGCCTTTCTAAATAGCTTTATCCCGTTCTTTCCACACAACAGTATTATAAGAAGCGTCACTCATGCCTTCAAAATTCCATTAGAAATCCTAACTCCAGGGGCGAATGGGTGGCTCAGTCGGTTAAACGTCCTATTCTTTCTTTTTTTAAGATTTATTTATTTATTTTTAAGAGATGGGGGGCCTGGGTTGCTCAGTGGGTTAAGCCTCTGCCTTCGGCTCAGGTCATAATCCCAGGGTCCTGGAATCAAGCCCCGCATCGGGCTCCCTGCTCAGTGGGAAGCCTGATTCTCCCTCTCCCATTCACCCTGCTCTCACTGTCATTCTCTCTGTGTCAAATAAATAGATAAAATCTTTAAAAAAAAAAAAAAAAGAAAGAAAGAAAGAAAAAGAAAAAAAGAGAGAGAGAGAGAGAGAGGGCAAGAGAACATGAGCAGGGAGATGAGAGGGAGAAGCAGACTCCCCAGCTAAGCAGGGAGCCTGACATGGGGCTCAATCCCCGGACCCTGGTATCAAGACCTGAGCCAAAGGCAGTCACTTAACAGACTGAGCCACCCAGGTGTCCCTAAATGTCTGACTCCAGGTTTTGATCTCAGGGTCATGAGTTCAAGCCCTGCACTGGGCTCCATGCTGGGCGGGGAGCCTACTTAAAAAACAAAATCCCTGGTGAGGGGGGGTGGGGTTATGGACATTGGGGAGGGTATGTGCTATGGTGAGTGCTGTGAAGTGTGTAAACCTGGCGATTCACAGACCTGTACCCCTGGGGATAAAAATATATGTTTATAAAAAATAAAATTTAAAAAAAATATATCCCTACTCCACATATGTGGAACTTTCCACAAGGGACCAAGGATAATTTCATTATAAGTCCCCTACTGTTGAACATTCAGGTTGTTTCCAGTTTATTCCAAAAGCTCTAACACACGCCTTTGAGGAATACATCGGTTTGCTCATTTGTCACCTCCCTACGATTCCCTGAAGGGGATGAGCAATTCATGTTGCTGCCCCATTCACCACAACTTGACCAGCAATGGGTTTTAGTTCTTTTTTCTTTTAATATTCAAAATAGCTCCGGTTTTAAGTGTATCTTCTTTTATGCAAATTCTCTGAAATCTGTATTCATGGCACAAATTCTATCTTACCGCTAGACATTTTATAGGTTGAACTTCAGAAATTTGTTTCTGGACCTGGAAATAATACAGAAATCCCAACTCAATTGGAAATTCCAAGTAGAGTTTGTAGTCTAATAAATGTTGTAGTTACTGTGCAGATGAATAAAAGTTTTAAGGATGACCATCAACATTTATAAACATTGATGATGACCCAATACTAGGGGTTAGGAAGATCACAGGCTCAGAATTAGGAGGTACAGGTTCTAAGCCCTGAGTATCTTCATAGCCTTGGACAAGTCATTTAACCTCCATAGCTTTGACTTCTTTTTTTTTTTTTTTTTTTTTGAGCTATAGCAGACCTATTACATTGTATTAGTTTCAGGTCACACAATGGTTCGCTATCTGTATGTACTGTGAAGTGGTCACCACAGTAAGTCTAGTTCACAGCCAATACCATACACAGAAATCCAGAATGCTTCATGAATTTGCACGTCATTCTTGGGCACTCTGGGCATTCTTGGGGAGCGGCCACGCTGAGCTCTGAACCGCTGTACTTCTAGTATACGCACCGCCATGGCAAACATGGGTTTTCATTTTTCACCGCTTCTGCCACCCTGACAGGTCTGCCGTTCATGTTAAAAAGGCCTATACGACTGGTCAAATCTGTGTGAAGGTTACACTTGAGCAAAGGCAAAACTCCCCCAACAGGCTAATTCTCCACCTTGGGCCAGGCTACACTTAAAAAAAAGATCAAGAAGGAAAATCATTTCTAAAAGCCCTTAGGACTCTCTTACCTTCTTGGTGTCCCATGCTTGCTTAGAAAGATTCTTATCTGTCTCCGACGTGGTCTCCTCCATTCCTGGAACTGTTAATAGTAAGACTGGGGGTGGGGGAGAGAAGGATGATCACAACCTTTTCACTCTGAAGCTATGTGGCACCAAGGGGGAAGCTGCACCGACATACAAGCGACACCAGTCTAACTGCCCCAACAGTAACTTCTGGGGACTGCACTCAAGTACAAAGAATGGTTTCATGCAAAGCAAGAGGAAGGACAGTTAAAAAAATAAATAAGTGGGGGCGCCTGGGTAGCTCAGTCAGGTGAGGGTCCGGCTCTTGGTTTCGGCTCAGGTCATGATCTCATGATCTCAGTGACGGGATCCAGCCCCACATCTGGCTCCGTACTCAATGGGGAGTCTGCTTGGGATTCTCTATCCCCCTCTCCTTCTGCCCCTCCCCCTGCTTAAGCATGAGCATGCTCTCTCTCTCGCTTTCTCAAATAGGTAAATCTAATAAATAAATAAATAAACAAACTAGAGACCCTGTGACTTAAAAAGAAATGAAAATAGGAGCTCTGGAGCTGAGGACATATATTACTTCTGCCTCCCATGGGACCGACTCAGGCTTTGGAGGTCCCAGGATACAGAGAACAGCAGAGAAATTCTTCCAGACTCTTGCCCCACCTGCCACCTTGTGGTCACCTGCCTCCCAGCCCCTGATGCTGTCAGCCGGGGGTTGACTGATCTACTCATTGTAGCTGCGGCCTCACGAATTAGTTGCAATGCCAGCCAACCCCACAGGAGGAAAGGAGGGGAGGAAAGGTCTGAGGGACTGCATGGGCATCATTTAAGGCCCTGGAACCAGCTATGCCTGAAGGCCCCTTTCTTTGGACCTTTTGGTTAAGGTGAGATTAAACATTTTCTTTATGAGACCTAGTTTCTTTATGCCTCTTGGAGGTTCAGTCTTTCGCTTGCAATAGAGCTACACTGAACACAGCCAGATGGGTCACCTCCTCCTCCTTAAAACCCAGAGAGAGCAGCTGTGACGGGTGGGAGGGCAGCCAGGCTAACTCCTCACCCTGTCACTGCTTGGGTCCCTCCCAGAGAAAGGGGAGCAGGTGACATGTCTCCCCTCTCTCCACCCCGAGGACAGCTGGACTCTGCACTAGCAAGAGCCCCTGCATTGCAGCTCCCTTCCATGGTCACAGAGTCCCAAGGGATAATGACATTTGCCTTGGAAAGCCTACCCTGAAAGTCTCACTTTCCTGGGGAGCCCACCAAGGAGACGGCCCCCTCAGAGTGGCTCCTAACACTGGGAACAGGAGGGCAGCCTCTGGTGCCCTGTTCTCTTCACCCCCAGGGCACCTGGAATTCCTGCTTTTAGTATGGAGCCCATTCTTTCTGCAATCTCACCTTCACTGTCTGATGAGCAGGGATCCCGGGACGATGGCACATGCACAGCCCCCTGCCCCTCAAGGGGTGAAGATCTGCTTGATAATCCTCATTCTACCAGCAGAATCTCCCTAGTATGTTCACACATTCACACAGTGCAATGCTACTCAAAAAACTGGAAAGTGTTCGGACCTTAACTGCATGTGATTAACTCTCTGGCTTCTATGTCTCTGGGCAGATCAAGCCTGAGTGGGGTTTCTCGCAGCCTCACAGCACTGTGCTCCCCTCTCTGGGCGACACTGCCCCAGTTTTTAAGATGGCATGCACCCTCCCAGAAGGTCCCAGGGACACTGTCCCTGCACCCAGCTCTGGGGAGAGGCTGAGGGCCTGGGTACAGATCTGCCCTAGCTACTGGTATGCAGAGCCCAGAGAGGAGAGTCGGGAAGAGGTGGGAAAGCACTGGCCCCATTTCCACCCACAGGAGGCAGAATGGGCCCAGAGACTGTGAACCAGGAGGGTTCTGAGCTGCAGAGCCAGGAAGTGGTACAGCATGAAGCCCTGACTTGAACTGCACCTAAAGCCGACATCTAGGTCTAGACTGCTTGGTCATGAGCTGATAAATGCCTCCTTTTGGTGGGGCTGGCTGTCCTCTACAACTGAAAGAACCGGCAAGGCCCGCATACTGTGTGGCCATGCCCTGAATCCATGAATGGAAGCCAATGTGTCTTTGCAGGGGCGGTTTTCTCTGCCCAGAAAACTCCTATGCACTCCTCAAAACCCAACTCAAGCAGCACCATTTCTTTTTTTTTTTTTTTTTTTTTTTTAGAGATTTTATTTATCTATTTGACAGACAGAGATCACAAGTAGGCAGAGAGGCAGGCAGAGAGAGGAGGAAGCAGGCTTCCCACTGAGCAGAGAGCCCGATGCGGGGCTCGATCCCAGGACCCTGGGATCATGACCTGAGCCAAAGGCAGAGGCCCTAACCCACTGAGCCACCCAGGCGCCCCAGCAGCACCATTTCTGAACATGTTCAAGCCTCTCCCCTTGTCCCATACCACCCACTGACTCTCCCCTGGCAGGTCTCTCCACCTATGAGCTTGTGACCTCTGGGAGCACAGGAGCCACCCACTGGCCTCGCCTCACCCGAGGAAAGAAGCCCACGTGCCCTGCCAATACCTCTTTTCTGGTGTGCGTCCTGGGACCCGCCTGCGAAGGGCTCTGGTTGGGTGGGTGTCATTGTGCTCTGGTGCAGGGCAGAGTCAGAATTGGTCCTGAGAAGGATAGAGAGACAGTGAGGCTTGGCCCCAACGGGGATGAAGGGACGGTCCTGGCCCCACTCTATCCAGGATATATGCTCAATGGGACAGGGTGGGAATGATGAGTGGTATTTGGGAGCTGTTACACCTGCATAAAACCACAGGCACTCTTCTCAAAAGAACCACAGCAGTGACCCTGATTTTCATCTGCAAAGCCCGCTGAAGACAAAAAGCTGTAGTAGAAATGCTCTCCATTCCCACCAGCCCTCCCCACTACCATCCTGTCCGTGGGCTTCTCAGCTTTGAGGGAAAGAATGGTGCCTTCCTCCTGAAACTCTCTGGAGAAGGGGCCCCATGGTCCCACAGTGGCCCAGCCCTGGGAGTACAAGGCCCAGCCCATCACTGTGTCCCCTTCTGGTGACAAACACCAGTGGGCAACTGTGCCACCCCAGGATGCTCAGTTGCAAACCAGTTGTAATAAGCAAAAATGAGAGGCAGCGATAGGAGGCTCAGAGAACAACCCAGAAAGAATGCAGCCCCTAGGGAGGGGGTGTGGCATGAGAGCTGCTAGGAACTCTGCCTTCTGCACCAGGGATGGGGTAACTCAGTGTACTCCCAGCTGCACATGCCTGGAGGGATGGTCCCCAGAAGAGCCCCTTGGGTACCCAGAAAACTGTGGGCACCCAAGGGGAGCTGGGCAGGTCCAGCCACACGGCTGGCAATTTGGGGATGAAAGAGCAGCATGAATCCAAAAGGGACATCCTAGCTACGGAGAGTGACATGGAGGAAACTCAGTTCAAGGAGAAGAGCAATTTACAAAGGATTGGGCCAGCTGACCTCTGACCCTGGGGCCATACCAGCAGTAAGAAGCTGGTCCGGATCCCGGCTCCCCCCCCCATCAGCTGTGTGTCCTTGAGTAAGTCTCCTGACCTCTCTGTGCTCACTTTCCTTATATCTAAAACGTGAGAATAAAAGCGCCGACTCCACAAAGCTCCACAAAGCTCCGTGCATTTTGTATCAGTTAATAACTATGATGGTTAAAACTGATATACAATACATGCCGAGGAGTTTAATTACATTACTGAATGATACATCATATACTTATATTTCATATATACATATGGGTTTTTTTTAATAACTTACTTTCAGTCTTCGGTGAAATCACCTACATTTTTTTTTTTTTTAATGTGTGGTAAAATAAATGTAACATAAAATTTACCATTTTAACCATTTTTAAGTATACACTTCCATGATATAAGCATATTCACACTGGTGCACAATCATCCCACTATTTGCTGTGGGCATTAACATTAACTATATTATTGTTATTCTAAATCTTTGTAGATGATGGCACTATTGACTTTTTTCCCCTTCTAAGTACACTTATGTGTATTCCTAACCTTCTGCTAATAAATATATAATACTTGTATAATCACATTTTCAGTGACTGTTCAGCAATATGAGAAGGCAAGTTACAAGACTAAATATCCAACCTAATCCCAACTCTGTCTATAAAAGGAAAAAAAAAGTTATGGAAAGAGAAAAAAAATCCCTGGAAGGCTCCAAAGCTATGACCTTGGTGTTACAAGGATAGAGCTGATTTCTAGAAACTTCTGAAGACTTCTTAGGTTTGTCATTTCAAAGTGACTGCATATTGGTTTTCCAAGCACAAGCATGATGTAAGTTTGTTTTTGTTTCCAACAAGAGGGCTGAGGGCCGGTTCTGGGTCACTGACCTTCTCCAGCTGGTGTCCGCGGGCGGCGAGAGGTACACGGTGCCGTACGGGCAGCTGTCCGCTTGAGTGTGAGTTAAGGGGACAGCACTGTTGGCTCAGGCCCCACCCCGAGCCCCAGGAACCTCGTGGCCAGGCTGCTGGGAGCCTGCAAACAGCTGGGGCTGCAGGGCGGGGGCCTTTCCTGCCTGGCTGCGAGTAGCCCCCGGGGTTCGGCCCTGTCCACCTAGCACTCAGCACTCACCCCCTGCAAGCACACGTGCGGGCTGCGCCCTTTCCAAGAGGGGCCTCAGCTGAGAAACTGGGGCCCATGGGGGGCAGTGGGGAGTTTCATTCAGCTGACCTGGGTCTTGACTCTTAATTCTAGGCTGACAGGGTGGCTCCCGGGGCCCAAGGGCTCTGTCTGGGGCCCAGCTGGTCGGGCTGCCCCAGCCACGGAAATGAGAAGCGGGAAATGACAGGCTTCTCTGTTCTCAAATGCTTGGGGTGGGGGGTGCGTGTCCCAAGAGCAGCCGCTCAGACTCTGGTGATGGGGGGGGTGGTGCGTGCTGGCTGGCCAAGCACCAAGGGGCGGCCAAGTCTTGGGGGCGGGGGAGAAACTCTTGATGATCTCTGCTTGGCCAAGGTGCAGAGGAGAATTCTGTGTCTTCAGATGGAGCCTCCCTTGGATCTGTCTGGGTCTGGCTCAGACCCCCCCTCAGCCCGGCTGCCTTGGCTGGGCTGCCCTCTGCATGGCCCCAACATGTGGACACCCTGCTCACAGTCTTTCTGGGTTCCACTGCCCAGCCAGGCGTCCAACACAGTGTGGGTCTGACCTTAACCTTCCCCAACCCTCCCCGCAGCCTGCACGCCCCAGCAGCCCGGGGCCTCAGTCCCATGGGCCCCGGCCCCAGCCCAAGGCCCTTCGGCTAGCCACACTGCTTCTGCCAGGGTTGCCCCACAAGTGTGCCCTCCCCAGGGCTGCCCGGGAGCCCCGGAGCACGGGGGGAGCCCTTATTCAGCTCAGTGAGCTAGACTCTGGGTCCTGCAGTCACCAGTAGCCCCCCTCCCGTCCTCCGGGTAAAAGATATCTGCCGTCCGTGTTTGTCCACTGACAAGGGCCGGCGATGTGGCGAGCCCAGCCGGCCACGCTCTCGGTATACTCTGTCCACCAGCCCGTGGTGCCGGGTGGTTCGGCTGGTGTCCAGGCCCGAGGACTGGAAGGGTGTCTGGGCGAGGCGGGGTGGGGAGGTGGGGAAAAGGAGACCAGAAAAGAGAGAGAAACCCAAACAGTTATCAGCCATGGCCTGAGACCCAACCCAGCTCTGCCCCCAGAATCTGACCACAGGGCCCCCCAGTCCTGAGATACCCTTTGTCACCATTCTGCAGCCCAGACAGGCTTCCTCCTACAGCCAGGGCCCTCAGCCTCTGAGTGCTGCTGGGGTGGGGGCGAGCTGGGGATCCTGGGCGCTGGGCGGCAGGCGTGCAGTGCGGCTGGCATGCACGGGCCAGGCAGGGCAGCGCAAGCTTGGGGCCCGGTGCCGGCTGGGGTGCCAGGGGTGCAGACGGCCCAAGCGCCCCCCAGCCTCGCCAGGTGCAGACAGGCCTCTGCCTTCTCTCTCTGGGCCTGGCTGGCCTCCTCCCCCACCTACGTCATCCCTGGAGGGGCCTGCCAAAAGACAGCCCCCAGGGCTTCCAGCTGAGGACGTCAAGGGGCCCACCTGGCCAAGTGCTGACTCCCCAGAGGCTCCTTACTGAGCCCTGGCCGGTCTTGATTGAGATGGGCCCCCCACACCCTCCCCCACCACCTCATCCCTCCACCACGGGAGCCAAGTGCAAGTGCTTTCCAGAGCCCTGGCCCTCGGTTGGGCCGGAAGGGGCTTCCTTCCAGCACCTGGGGCTGGCATGAGGCCTCCAGCCAGACCTTGCTCCCTCTCCTAGCTCCATGCCCCTGGGGCCCCTGGGAGTCTGCTCCCTGCCTGCCCTGGGGCTCTGGAGCCCTCAGGTCCCTTGCCATCTGACTGGGGTGAGACTGGCAACCTTAGTCAGCTCTGGAGGCAGCCAGTACCCCCGCCCTGCCATCTGGCCCTCGGGCCTTCTGCCTTCTCTGGGCATCCAGGCAAAAGCAATTTCCTTCCGGAAGACTGTCACTGGCTGGGAACACTGCTCTTCCCTACCCGTCCGAACGCCTGGGCCAGTGTTCAGGGCTGACAGCTCTCCCTGGAGTCTGGGGCCCCCTGTTTCTCCCTGACCCAGAAAGAATCCTGCCAGCTTGGGTCTTTCTGCACTTTTGCCTCCAAAAGGCCTTGGGCCTGGAGACTTCAGAGACTGAGGGAAGGTGCGAACCTTGCCATCCAGGCACAAACAACGGAGGGCAGGGGCTGTTCATCTCCTCCCAGAGACGCCTAGAAGGCCGGGGGCAAAACCAAGGCAGCTGAAGCAGAGCCAGAGGCAGAGAGAAGCTCGGGCCCGGCCACAGCCCGGTTCACCAGGCCGCACCTGGGACCCACACACACACATGTGCATGTGTCACAGGGACGAACCATGCAGCATTGACGCCCATGCTCAGATCCTCCAGGCGGGGGCCTTGCCCTCGTGACGCAACCACGCACGCTCCCCCACACAGGACAGGGGAAGGTGCAGCGTGGGTCCACTTCTGTTTGGCAGACAGGACACTTCCCGCCAGGCCACTGGGGTGGCCACACAGGGATACCCAGCACCCGCACACGTGCCAGGGACGCCGAGGCCTCAGCCCAGGGGCTCATTTACCAGAGAGACAGGAGCCGCCGCCAGGGCCTCCCCCAGATATCCGCTGGGCTGAAAATGCAAAGAACCGAGACTTTGAGACACTCCTGCCTCGTCCGGCCCCCCAGCGGGATGCCCAACAGGCCCCAGTGCACCCTTGGCCCAAGGAGGCTCTATGCCAGCACTAGCCATGGCCATACTCGGGGGCTGCCCAGAGAGATGCTCCCCTTGAGGGAGAGGGAGATGGGGGAAACAGAGGAAGGGGAGAGGCAGGAAGAGGGGAGAAAAACGCAAACTAGGAAGGGCCTTGACAAAGAGGTCAGGCTCTTGGAGCACATTCAGGATCGGCACAACAGCCCCATGTGTCTGCTCCTGCAAGGGGGCCATCTGAGGAGGGCCATGCTCTGAGAAGCCCAGGGGACACAGGGCTGAGCCAGGTGTACCCTGAGCCAGCCTAGGGGACCCCAGGCCAGTGCCCTGCTGCATTCCAGCAGTAGTGTGGGAGGAGGAGAAACTGGGGAGTGACTCAGGTGGGTGGGGGACTGAGCTCCATGCGGGACAGGCTGGGCTCCACCTGGCCTGTCAACACATGGATAGACATGGCTATTTCTGAGGCTCTGTCCCAACAAAGGGGCAGGTGTGTGGCCGTCTGGTGGACCTGTCCCTACAGAGCCCAGACAAGCTAGGGGTGGGCCCAGCTCCCGGCCCCGCTCCCAGGCCCACCTCACCCCTGCTTCCATCTGCAGACCAGGGTCAGGGCACAGTCTGGGGTAAGAGGCCAGCCCTGCACCCAGGCGGTGGGCCTTATCTCTCATTATTTATGATAAGGACGTGCACGGCGGCTGTGTGGCCTGCAGGAGCCGTGTTGTGTGCGTCCTTGCCAAGAAACGTTTGCAGACAAGTGGGGTCAGGCCACAGGGCCTCCTTCTGAGAATTGCTGGGCTTGCGGATTAGTGAGGCAGGATGGAGCCAAGCCCCAGAGGCCCCGAGCGGTTCCCGATGCCGCACAGCCGGCCAACAGGTGTAGCGGCTGCCGAAACGCTCTTGGCCAGACCACAGCCTCGCTGCGGGCTCTGCTGACAGAGGACAGGCAGGGGGATCCAGGCAAGGCCTGGCCAAGCTGTCCCAGGGACAGGAAAAGAGTAGGTGGGGGCGGGGGAGGCGAGCTGCGCCAATTATTTGGTGACCCAAGCTCTCCACAGCGGCCGACACACACGCTCGCTCGCTCCCTCTGTGGCCAGGGTGGGGCCCGGATACAACGTGCGCCAGGAGGGCGGGGGGAAGGTGTAGGGGGGAGGGCGGGGGCTCACCTGGAAGGGCAGATCCACGGTGCCACTCCCGATCTGGTTCACGTTGGGCAGGGACCCACCGTAGTACTGGCCCCGGCTTGGGCCCAGCTGCAGGTACTGCGACTTCTGGAGCTGGAGCTGTAAGAGAAGCTGGCAGCTGCAACGCGGGCCCAACGCCTTCCTGAGCACATCATGAAGAGTGCCACCCCAGGGGGGCACCCAGAACGGTACCAAGCGATGGGGTTGATGGCACCAGTCACAGAGGGTGTGGGACCCTGTGACTCACATACTCAAAGGAGCCCCATGTCACTCCACCCGAAGAACAGAACCAGGCAAGGCAGCGGGCCCTGAGGGGGCAGCCTCCATGAACTCGGGGGAGCCTTGCTGGTTCCCGTGCATCGTTTGTGAACGAGAAGACAGTATCGGAAAGACCTGGAGCCCAGAGCCTGTGGAGAAGGCCCTACACCCACGCAGCAGAGCCATTTCTTTTCACAGCTAAAGACTGTATTCCCGGGGCAGAGGCCAGACACAAGGAGCCGACACCAGGACACACGAGGAATTGTCTTTCCAATGGCCTGAAGCAGAGGGGCTGGCTCAGAAGCCCAGTGCTACCTTTCAAAGCACAGGGTGTATGATCCCGCCGGCCGTACACAGGAGGCAAAAGCAGGGCGGCCAGATCCCGCCCAAGTGGTAAGGGGTCCTGCCCAAGCCCCCAGACTCCTTCTGCCTCTCTTGCTGGCCTCACTGGAGCTGGGCGCAGCGGAGGGCCTTCATCTGGGATGGCTGGATGCCTGCATGGGCCTCCCACTGTCACTCACACAGGGATCTGTCCCACTGGGCCACACCTCAGACCCTGGAGCCCAGCTCCCTGACTGGCCGTGGCTGCCTTGAGGTGAGGCTGGGACCTGGCCTCCTCTCCCTCGAATAGCCGATTCCACTTTCCTGGGTCCCCGGTGTGGTCAGCACCACTCGTGACCTGCAGGGCTGATGGTCCACGACACCTGTCCTGCTCCCTTGGGAGGCAGGCGTCGTGTCCGAGAGGTGGTGGCCAGGTACTCAGGGAGGGTGGGCGTCTGCTCTGGCCCTGGCCAGGGCGGTTGCTAGGGTCGATACTGTGTACACAACAAGGCCGGCTCATGTTCCCTCACAAACAGCTCCTGGCAGCGCTCTGTGAGCTGGCTGCCCGTGCCGCCCCACTCTCCCACGTCGGCCCCTGCTTCCTGGGGGGGGGCCCAGGATCCTGGAGGGGGAAGTGAGACTCGGGAACTGGCCGCCTGCCCAGGAGAGTACCTCACCCAGGTAAACAGCTGTTTCCTGTGAGCGACCGTGGAGTCAGGAGGCAGACTGACCCCATTCCATCCTTCGCGGGTGGTTCTTGGGGTCTGCGGGGCCCAGCCCAGGATCCATCTCCAATGGCTGGAGACCTCACTGTAAATACCCCACTGTGTCCCTCCCACCCTACAGTCATGAGAGATGAAATAGGCCAGCCTCCGGCCACAGGAAGGGGGAGACCAAGCAGGGCAGGGCCCCCACCCCTGCCTGGGCACAAGTCACCTCAGACCCAAGACACCCACAGGCTTGTGTCTGAGCCTTGTGACAGAAGCCTGCATCACAGCCAACCCTCAAGAACCATGTGCCCCCCCCACCGCCCTTCATGGCCTCGGTTTCCCCCTCCCATTAGTCCAGGAGTGGGTAAGGACGCCTGGCATGTGACACAGGAAGTGCTTACAAAACAAGTATTTTTGTCAGAGGCTGAACTGCCAGCTCAGGGAGCCCCAGCATCCTGCCCAAGCACTCCACAGAGCCGCTATGTTCCAGGCCAGAGAGAGCCTGGTGGTGGGGATGATCTACAGGACGGGGGACTGACAGGAAGCCCACGCTCGCATGCTGCTGAGACACCAGCCCTCCCAGGCCCCACCTCTGCGCCCTTCTTTCTAGCAACGGCCTCCCACCCGCCTCCCTGCTTTGCTGCAGGACTGTCAGGCTTTGGAGCACAGCCTCTGGGTTTGGAGTGGGAGGTGTATGGGGCCCTGCACTTCTTTGGGGCACCCTGTGCCTGTCCCTGGGTGCATACTGGCAGCACAAGAAAGTGTCCACCTGGCCTGGAGATGTCTGGCCTTTGTCCCCAGTGCCTGAGAGGTGGAAGCCCTCTGAACATTCTGCCTGACAAGACTATCTTTGTTTGCCTGTGCTCTCAGGCCACACTGGGTGGTCTATGCCAACAGTGTGATTTAGGGGAGGGGTCTTGGGCCACGTGGAATCAGCTCATCCCCTGTAGGGCTAGAGAGGCAGTCAGCCAGGTCCGTGTAAGCCCCAGTAGAAAGCCGGGACCCTGAGGCTCAGGGAACATCCCTGGACGGCAGTACACCATGTGTGGGGCCACACGGGGCGCTGGGAGAAGTAAAAGCTGTCCACACGACTCCACAGACGGGGGACACCCGGAAGCTCATGCACAGAACTCTCCAGGATGCCACCCAGACACCCCTTCCCTTTGCCGTTGAAACCTGTGTCCTTTCGCTTATAATAAACCCTAACTGTGAGCATTTAACAGCTTCCGTGAATCCTGTGTCCCTCAAGTGACCTGCTGACCTGAGTGTGGTCTTGGGGCTCCCCTGCAATGTTGCAGGAGCTGACTGCCCTCCCAGGCCTGGCCAGGAACCCCCAGGAGCCGGGAAATGAGGTGAGAAGATGCCAGCCTGGGGCCCTGCCCAAGAACCTGCTGCCTGGGAAGGAAGGACAGCAGAGTGACATCACCAGGCAGGACCTGATGAGCTAAAGGTTGAAACTCGAGCCTCTTGCTAGTGCCAAGCCACAGCCCCTCGTGCATCCTTCCAGCCAGCAGTCCTCACTCTGTATCCACCCCCAAATGGCACTTGCCCCTAGCCTCGCCAACAGAGCTCCATAAACCCAGCATCCAAGCCAGGGCATGTCACTCAGCAGCACCTGCTCGTGGAACAAATACACGTGTGGACATGTGAGTAAGGGAATGACTGAATACCGCTGTTCCTGCTCTCGAAGGTCGACATTCACAAGCCAGGTGACAGGCCCATTTGGAGGCCGCACAAGCGCCTATCAGAAGGCCCACATGGCTCCCAAGACAATTAGAGGTTCAAGGTCAAACAGGGCTTGGATGCCTCCCCCACCCCACACACCCCCGCACCCACATGGCTGTTGGAAAGGGCAGTGCAGATGGGGAAGTGAGGCCCACAGGAGGCCATCACGTGCTGGAGGCCAGGTGCTAGAAGAGGAGACCTGCATCTCTCAGGGCTCCCCCTTGCTTGCGGCCTGTGGTCCGATAGCCTGGGGAAGGAGTCTGCGCCTCCCGACTAGGAGAGTGGAACTCCACTCCAGAGTCAGAGGGCCTGGGCTGAGGGTGGATGGGTGCCTCATTACCCATGCTTGTACCTAAACTTCCTGCCTTCTGCTCTCCCCACCCCTTGGCCCCAAAGCACCCTGAGTCTGTGCACCCCCAGGGCCTTGGCCTGTGACAGCCCCCGCTTCCATGCCCATCCCACAGGGGCCTCCCTGACACCCCACCCAGGGAGCAGCCCCTCCAAGTCACTATCACATCAGCCTCTAGCTTGGTTTGTGGGTTTTTTTTTGTTGTTTTTTTGGTTTTTTTAAAGATTTTATTTATTTATTTATTTGACAGAGAGATCACAAGGAGACGGAGAGGCAGGCAGAGAGAGAGAGAGAGGGAAGCAGGCTCCCTGCTGAGCAGAGAGCCCGATGCGGGACTCGATCCCAGGACCCCGAGATCATGACCTGAGCCCAAGGCAGCGGCTTAACCCACTGAGCCACCCAGGCGCCCTGTTTGTGTTGTTTTTAATAAAGTTTTCATCGCGGAGGTTTTAGATTTACAGAAAAACTGCAAAGACGGTACACGGTTCTGCAACGCCCCTCACTCAACTTCCCCTAAAGCCACCCTCCTGCCTTACTGGGACAAAATTAGGAAAGTGGAGGTGGGCTGGCATCCCTGGCTGACCCAGACCCACTCGCGTGAAGCCTCCAGTGGGTCTCATCAGGTTTGCTGCACTGAAAACGCCCTTGCTCCAGGACCCTGTCCACCATCCCCATCTGGGCCCCACCAAATAGTGGGGACTCAAGACTCACAGTTTGCTGGTCACACTGTGTCCAGCACCAGGACTGTGCGTGGTCACAGATCCCCCATAAGTAGTACCACGTGACTGCCTTACCTCCCACAAGCCTGCCGCAGCCTCAGATCTTTCCAGAACAACATGCGCAGTCCCTGCCTCTCAAACCCCCTTGCTCTCAGGTCTGAACTGACTGGGCAAGCGGCAGTAGGCCCTGGGGTCAGAGATATCTGATCCACAATGGATGGCCTAGAAGCACAGCGCAGACCCTGGCCACCCTGCGCTCAACGACTCCCCACCCCAAGCATTACAGATGGCACCCCGGGTGTCCCTGAGTCCCTGCCATGGGTCCTTCTCAGCAGATTTAAGGTATCACAATAGTCCTACCACCTTCAGCGTCCCAGGGCTACCGTAACAAATGACCACAAACAGCATGGCTTAAAACAGTAAGAATTTACTCTCTCACGGTTCAGGAGATGGAAGTTCAAAATCAAGGTGTGGGCAGGGGTGGGTTCCTTCTTGAAACTCTGAGGGAGAGTCTGTCCCAGGCCTGTCCCAGCTCCTGGTGGCTCCAGGGTTCCTGGGGTTGTGGCCATATCCCTTCAGTCTCTGCTTCCATCCCCATGTGACCTTCCCCCCTTGTGTGCCTCAAATCTCCCTCTCCTTTCTCTTATAATACCTGTCACTGGATGCGGCCCCCCCCCCCCCCCCGCAATCAAGAATGATCTCATCCTGAGCCGTCTACCTACATCTACAAAGACCCACCTGCCAATAAGGGCACATTCCCAGGTTCTGGGGTAAACACATGGACAGAGGTTTTGGAGGGATACAATTCAACCAAGACAGGCCTTTTTTTTTTTTTTTCCAAAGATTTTATTTATTTATTTGACAGAGAGAGAGAGATCACAAATAGGCAGAGAGGCAGGCAGAGAGAGCGGGGAAGCAGGCTCTCCACCTAGCAGAGAGCCTGATGCGTGACTCGATCCCTGGACCCTGAGATCATGTCCCGAGCTGAAGGCAGAGGCTCCAATCCACTGAGCCACC